TCCAATATTTATCCCACTGCTATTGAACCTGTATTCAATGCTGTCTGGATCTGTAGAAATACTGTTTGCATGCATGAAAATTGTGCAACATTATTACAATTTTCATTTTAATATATTGTAAAATGTAATTTATTCCTGTGATGCAAAGCTGAATTTTCAGCATCATTCCTCCAGTCTTCAGTGTCACATGATCTTCAGAAATCATTCTAATATGCTGATTTGCTGCTCAAGAAACATTTCTGATTATTATCAATGTTGAAAACAGTTGTGCTGCTTCATATTTTTGTGGAAACTGTGATACTTTTTTTCAGGATTCTTTGGCATAACATGCACTAGTGAATTGTGCACAATAAGACCAGAAACATGTTTTAAGAAAGTAAACAGCATCAATTTATGTTTTGTTTCTCCTCATCAGGTTGTTTGCAGCCAAATGCAGTGGCTGTCTGGAGAAGATCGCTCCCACTGAGTTTGTGATGCGCGCACTAGAAAGTGTGTATCATCTAGGCTGCTTCTGCTGCTGTGTGTGCGAGCGACAGCTGTGTAAAGGAGACGAGTTCGTCCTGAAGGAAGGACAACTGCTGTGCAAGAACGACTACGAGAAGGAGAAGGACTTACTGCACGCGGTCAGCCCGGACATGTCTGACTCCGGTGAGAACAACGCTTTCCTTTCCTCTCGTCTCGTATGCTCTCCATGGAAAGGTGATATTAAAAAGCTTGTTTCTGTAGACAAAAGTGAGGATGAAGATCTGGACTTGAAGCCGGAGAAAGGAGCAGGAGGTCAGAGCAAAGGAGCCGATGACGGCAAAGACCCACGCAGACCCAAGAGACCTCGCACCATCCTCACCACCCTGCAGCGGCGCGCGTTCAAGGCCTCCTTTGAGGTGTCATCCAAACCATGCCGAAAGGTGAGAGCATCCTTCAGAAGATTTCTAGAGGGAATACAACCAAATGAACCCATTTCAGTTTTTGAATGTGCAACCTGTGCTTACTGTAGAGGCACAGGTTCCAGTATTATACTAATCCATTATTATACAGCAGTCTATGGACTATCTGATGCGCATTGCATGTAAAAATGGCAAAAAAAATAATGGACCATCTGATGCATATTGCATCTAAAATTGGCAAAAACTATGAACAATCTGATGCATATTGCATGCAGTATAAAAATTGCACAAACTACATGGATCATCTAATGCTTATTGCATGTAAAAATGGCAACAACTATGGATCTTCTAAGGTGTATTGCATGTAAAAATAACAACTATATGGAGCATCTAATGCATACTGCATCTAAAATTGGCAAAAACCTATGGACCACATTATGCATTTAGCATGGAAATATGGCTAAAACTATGGATCTTCTGATGCATATTGGATGTAAAATTGGCAAAAACTGTGAACCATCTGATGTGTATTGCATGTAAAAATTGCAAAAACTCATGAGTTGTAAAAAATGTAAATGTAAAAATGTACAAAAAATGGCAAGCACTTCATGCCAGTGGTCAAATGTCTGGGTATGTGAGAGTACTTCAGATGAAGTAATATGTTCCTGTTATTTCAGGTCAGAGAGACGTTGGCAGCTGAAACCGGTCTAAGTGTTAGAGTCGTTCAGGTGTGGTTTCAGAACCAAAGAGCAAAGGTGAGCATGTTCAGCGATCTTAACTGAGCCTAAGTCAGGGGTTTTCAGTTCTTTAGATGCCATGGATGGCCAAATATCATTATAGGAATGCACATCCTAAAATGTAAAAGGCAGCTATATATATATAAATTTGACAAAAAAAAAAAAAAACCTATTGACCACATTATGCATATTGCATGTAAAAATAGCAAAAACTATACAGGCTATCTCATGAGTTGTAAAAAATGTAAATGTAAAAATGTACAAAAAATGGCAAGCACTTCATGCCAGTGGTCAAATGTCTGGGTATGTGAGAGTACTTCAGATGAAGTAATATGTTCCTGTTATTTCAGGTCAGAGAGACGTTGGCAGCTGAAACCGGTCTAAGTGTTAGAGTCGTTCAGGTGTGGTTTCAGAACCAAAGAGCAAAGGTGAGCATGTTCAGCGATCTTAACTGAGCCTAAGTCAGGGGTTTTCAGTTCTTTAGATGCCATGGATGGCCAAATATCATTATAGGAATGCACATCCTAAAATGTAAAAGGCAGCTATATATATATATACAGCTATATAAGACCCTATTTATACTGTGAAAAATAATATTATAAATATTTGTGTAGTTAGTGTTTATATATATATATATATATATTTAATTTATATAAATATATTCAAA